GGGGGAGACCGCGACCCGCACACGAAAGATGATAATATTATTCTTTGTTTTATTATTTATTATATTAGATTATTTTTTATTTCTAGTTTCGGGGATGTCAAATCTTACATACTTGGCTATGTTTAATTGATTACGGTGATTGATTATTTTGCTATTTATATGAAATTTCTTGTGTTATTTTGCTTTGATCAACCATGATGTATTTGATCTTATTTAGATTGGTCACCTAGATGAATTTTTCATGTCTAATGCTAGAATTGGACTTACAATCCGTAATTGTTGTTTAGTTTGATTCGTTGGTAGCAAACGATAGTCGGAACCTATCGGGAATAACACAACTTAATTAAGTAGGTCAAGCATATGAATCTAATACTTAGAATACCCTATTTTCCTAGATCCTAAAACTGCTACCGTGTTAAATTTAGAGAGCATGTTCTAGACTGTCAAGTAGTTAAGTTTAACCGAAGAGCGTGTTTCGATTAAATATACTGTAAGAAAAAAATTCGAGTAGCAAAGCGTATTGTTATCTAGGGCAAGTAATTTCGGAAGATAGTAAAACATGACGTCAAAATTAGTTAGACTAGTCGAGCGAGGGCGTAGACGGAACCGCAAACTAGATTTTTCTCTACATATTTATTATTATTTTATTTTATTTTTTTCTCATTCTTAGTTAGATTAGATTTTTTAATCCAATCCCCTCCTCTTTTATCGCTTTAATTTCAATTAATAAGAAAAATTCACGATTTGATTCACAGTACTCATATGATCGACTCTTGTTTGCCGCTACTACTAGTTAGTGAAGGTTAGTTAAAGAAAACATAGATTTTAATTTGCCGCATTACAGTCAAATTTTGGCGCCGTTGCCAGAGAGTGGCATTGTTGAATTGTGACTTTTAAGTATTAATTGAATATTTTTAGGATTTTATTTTTATTATCTTTTACCTCACCCATTTTCTTGTTTATTTATTTATTTATTTTTTTGCAGAGTACTGGGGCCCCCTATACTCGTGGAGTAACTTGTCTTTGGAAGTGTTTGGCTACCTTGAGCACTTTTCGAGGATGGCAGATGGTAACATCGAACACTCCGACCGGCTGAAAATCGGCTCGTCTTATTCCTCCTCATCGTTAGTATGCTGAGTACCTGTAAAAACTCTCACACCGGAGGGATTTTCTAGTGAAGAGCATCTGATGCTTAAATCAATATAAGCTCTACTCAAATCTCAAGAGTATAATAGAAAATGTCATGCTGAAATCATAAAGCTTACCCCTATATGTAGGGGTGAGTTACCTGCTGGCCAAAAGAGCTGAGGTGGCTGCCCAAGTTGCCCGTTAGTACAACACACACTAGAGGTGTATCAGAGACGATTATGCTATATGGACCAATAACGTCATGCCACGTGTCCTCCGCACGCAGGATTTGATTCCTCTTAGATCTTCTCGAAGGCTCTAATGCTCGACCAGATCCAGGTCAATTCGCTAACTGCTCTGAGTCTGGGAAATGCTCAATCAGATGACCATTTGTGTCATAGGTCAATCCTCTACCAGACCCTTCACGGGACTTGGATCGACTTGCTTTCCAGGTACTTGAATCCCCTTTCAAGTTGTCTCATGATCCAGAGGTTCTTGCTCCTGTTACATTCGACCACGACCACCCTACTCGGATTCTATTCGACCAGGGCGGCTTGTTTGGTGTATTCGATCGGCTCACTAGACCAGTTTACTCCTTGAGGTTTAATATCTTATATCATCTAGTCCCCCTCCCCTACTCTGGTCGAGTCTGAATTAATCTATCTAAGAGTAGATTTTCGTCCATCCATCAGCCGTCGTCTCATTCACTGTCTATCAGTTATTCATCACGTTCCTTTCTGTTTTTTGACCACTTCTCTCTTCGGCCACCATTTTGAAATTTAAACTCCACACCTGCCACTTGTCACATCTGTCTCTTCATCTGTCAGACTGTCATCATTGCCCCGTAAACCGTGCCTCCTCGTACGATGCGCGTGTTAACTGCGCTGCTTCACCTCAATTGATCGATTCTCCTTTAATCCAACGGCTAATTCTCCCCGTCCTTTGAACTGCCTCTATTTTCTTCTATAAATACCCCCAGTCCAGGTTTAACTGAAGAGCGTATTCTAGCTAAATATACTGTAAGGAAAAATTCAGGTAGCAGAGCGTATTGTTATTTAGTAGGGCTAGTAATTTTGAAAGATAGTGAAACTTGACGTCACAATTAGTTAGATTATTTGAGCGAGAGCATACACGGAACTGCGAACTAGACTTTTCACTGTATATTCATTTTATTTTATTTTATTTTATTATTTCTTATTCTTTGTTAGATTAAATTTTATAATCCAATGCCTCTCTTTTATCGCTTTTTATAACTTTAATTAGTACAAAAAAATCACGATTTGATTCACACTCCTCGTAGGATCGACCTTTGTAGAGTTTAGTCCATGAAAAATATACATATAAATATTTATTTATTATAAAAAATTTGTTCTTGGGACACGTTTTCTTATCACTATCAAATTTAATTTAAGATCTTTTACAACTTTATTTATTAATAGTTTATTAATAAGCATCAGCTCTAATTTTTAACTTTATTTATTATTAATTTATTGATAAGAATCAACTCTAATATATATCTTTCAAAACTTTATTTATTAATAATTTATTAATAAGCATCAACTCCGTTGACTGTTGATACGAAAAATTCATAGGCTCTCGAAGATGTTGAATTTTAATCCTAAAATAGTTGAACATTTGCAAAAGAGAATCTCCTACTCTTATTACTGTGATCTCCATTTTTTAAAATGTAAATGATATATTTTGTAATTTCTAAATAAAAAGTCTACTTTGTTAAAAAAATATGCAAACTAAAATACTGAAAGATAATTATAAATTTACCCAATCAAATCTTCTATTTGAATTATTTGATGAACAAAATTTTATTTATTTTTTCTATTATAAAAATTAAATTTAGAAAAAATCTCCAAATGTGAGGTTTTTGTGAAGAGATGATTGAAATGGTACTTTTATATTTAAAGCGTTAGTTATATATAGCATTAATTATACGTAAATTGATCTACAGTAAATTTATTAGTTAATTTTCAGTAACACTACTAATCCATCATATGCATGTGTACAAATTATAAGAAAAAAAAAATAACATAAACTTTTATATAAAGATAACAACTAAAATATTTTTTTTTTGACAATATGTATCACATTTATAATGAATTGTTATATTAAGTAAGTAAGTTATTTTATAATTATTAAATTTTAGCTTAATTTTTATATTTTAGTAAAAAAAGTATAAATGTGGAATTTGCAAAAATATTAATGACAATTGTTGTATGAATATAGTGAATAATATAACTTTTTATATATAATTTGAGCATTTTAATTATAATTATTACAATACAAACAAAGCAAACAATATAGACAATATAAATCTTATATACTTATATATTAATAATTATATGTTTCATGCAGAAAAAAAAAAACATTACAATTTACAGGTCAATTTTATTATTTTGTAGAATGTAATAAATATCATAATATTATGTAAAAAAGAGATATGTAGTGGCAATATTAAGTTTTATTTTTTTATTGCTCTATTAGCAACTATATATATATATATATATATAGAGAGAGAGAGAGAGAGAGAGAGATTTTACAACAAAAAATAGAGATATGTAGTAGTAGTATTGTAACAGTTACACCAAAATATAATATTACTTACTATTTATCAGAATGACAAAAAACCTATTAAATTACTTTCATAAACATAACTATTACAATTTTTACATAATATTATGATATTTAATACATAATTAAATCACTTTCTAAAAAATAATAAAATTGACTTGTAACATTTTTAGGGGAGAAACCTATGTAGGTTTGTTAATTAAGTTTTATTTATTTCTCTATCAGCAAATTTATTTATATATATATATATATATATGTATAGAGAGAGAGAGAGAGATTTATTATTACAAATTGTATTTAATATATTTATAGATTATTAATTCAAAAAAGTTTACATCTAATATTTTAAACTAATGATTGTTAAGTTTAAAATTTAATAATTCACAATAATTCTTCATATAAATTTATATTATAAATTAAGCTAATATAATCTTCTATTATAAAAAATCCTAAAAAAAAGCCCTTGGTGTGTACACTTCGTAAAAACATTTTTTGACAAGATCCTGGTGAGTGAAACTCACAAATAGTGTTTAGAGAAACTGATAATCATACTTTTTTAATACATATGCATACTTTCATGCAAAAATAACATATTTTTAAAAAACAGTAAAAAAAATACAATATATCCCAGTATAAATATACATATTTGTTAAAAACAGTTTTGCTATGGAATTCTCCGATGGCTCGACTTATGGAGTCATCTACACTTATTCACCAATAGTGTATTGACACGTGTCTTACAATAAATACAATTTGAACATGTGTCAATACATTAAGTGGTGAATGACTTCATAAGAAAACCATCCAATGACTTTATGGATTTTTTTTTTTTTTTACAAAAGAGTGAATTACACAACTAGCACCATTTTGTTTAGCTATGAAGTACACAATCTATATTATAATCAACCGTTTTAAAAGGGGTGAAAGTGAATAGGGGCACACTTTGAAAAGTAAGGATATGAAACAGACCTACATAGACGTAATTGGCGGACTTAAAGTCAACAAACACTCATATTCAGAATCGTTGGTTTTCAACAAAGGATAATTTAGTTCACTGTTAGGGAGAGTACTGATCACTCATCACAAGGGGAAATAATATTGCTATAAATAGTAAATGAAAACATACACGGTAAACACAAAACAATACATATCAATAAGAAAAAAAAAAATCATAGAGAGAAAGAAAATACATATCAGTGTATCAAACAATCTTGATTCCACAGTCGGAGAGAAAGAAAGAGAGGGAAGAGAGAGAGGGAGAGAGAGGGACTTTCTCTTACATCATAGAAATGGCTTCCATATTTCTTATTACCAGATTCTGTGTCTTGTTGTGCATTAGTGCATGGGCATCATCTGAAAGCAGTTTGCAAACCTATATCATTCATGTCGAAGAGCCCAACGCCAGTTTACTCGACGACTTACCGGCCTACTACGAATCATTCCTCCCCGTGGCGGACACATTGAGCTCGGAGGCCCCACTGTCGCGCATCATTTACTCCTATCACCACGTCCTCACCGGCTTCGCTGCCAGGCTGTCGCAACACGAGGTCGAAGCAATTAAAAAGATGGACGGCTTCATATTTGCGTGGCCTGACAGAAACCTATCCCTCCAGACCACTCATTCCCCCGAATTCCTTGGCCTGAGTATCCCAAACACGGGCCTGTGGGAACGGGCTAGTTATGGCAAAGGCGTCGTCATTGGAGTGCTCGACTCCGGGGTAAAGCCTGACCACCCCTCGTTCAATGACAATGGAATGCCGCCCCCACCTTCCAAATGGAGGGTAACGTGTGAGTTCGACCAACCCTACAGCTGCAACAATAAGATCATCGGAGCGCGTGATTTCAGTGTACTAGACACAAATGAAACCCGCAACCCACTTGACATGGGTGGCCACGGCACTCACACCGCCAGCACGGCAGCCGGCAACTTTGTGGAGGGAGCAAACTTTTTTGGCAGCACGGGCGGCACAGCCGCCGGCGCCGCTCCACATGCCCACCTGGCCATATACAAAGTGTGCAAATATGACTGCCCGGTCACCAGCATTGTTGCTGGCATGGACGCTGCTGTGGAGGATGGAGTTGACGTGCTCTCCATTTCTATTGGCTCTCCAGCACCAGTTCAATTCTACGAGGACCCAATGTTGTATGCTTCTTTCAGAGTGATGGAGCGTGGTATCGTTCTCAGCTTCTCGGCGGGAAACGAGGGACCTGAGTACTATAATGTAATTAATGGGATGCCATGGGCTCTCACTGTTGGCGCGAGTACTATGGACAGGCAGTTGAGGGCAGCTGTGGTGTTGCGAAACAAAACGAGCAGGTTCTTCAACGGTGAGGGGGCCTACCAACCAAAGGATTTCAGGAAGGAATTTCTGCCGCTTGTTTATATCAAAGACTGCACAAGTGATGATTCATTGAAGAGAAGCAAGGTGAAAGGGAAGATAGTTGTGTGTGACTATCCAATTCCTGACATAGCAACTGCAGCTGCGATTAAAAGACTTGGCGGTGCTGCTATGATCTTGGTTAACTGGAAGGATTTGGAGAGCACTACAACGGCAGTAGGTAACTCCCTCCCATCTGCAAACATCAATTATGCAGATGGTCTGGAGGTTAAAAGATATATAAACTCGACGGCGAAACCCAAGGCCAAGATATTATTTCAAGGAACCTTGTTTGGATACGAAGCACCTGTGGTTGCTGCCATTTCTTCTAGAGGACCCAACATTGCAAGTCTTGGGATTTTGAAGCCGGATATTTTAGGCCCAGGTGTAAATATCCTGGCGGCGTGGCCGACCTCTCGTGAAAACAGAATGAATGTGAAATCCACATTCAATATGTTGTCTGGTACCTCTCACTCATGCCCACACCTCAGTGGAGTGGCAGCTCTGCTCAAGAGCACACATCCTGATTGGTCGCCCGCTGCAATCAAGTCGGCCATCATGACTACAGCAGATGTTGTGAATCGTGCAGGGAAGCCCATCGAGGACGCAGATTCTCACGAAGCCGACATCTTTGCAACCGGTTCAGGCCAAGTGAACCCACAGGCGGCAAATGATCCAGGGCTCGTGTACGACATCAAACCCAAAGATTACATCCCTTACTTGTGCGGTTTGAACTACACAAACGCACAAGTCGGTCTGTTTTGGAAGCACAACAAGGTGGATTGCTCGAGGGTGAGAAGCATACCTGAAGCCCAGCTAAACTATCCGTCGTTTGTACTTAATTTCACGGGTGGTGAGCCGGTTTCTCAAAAGTATACTAGGACGGTAACAAATGTCGGCCTCCCTAAATCGACTTACAGAGTGACTGTTGTCCCCCCAGTTGGCATCAAAGTTCTTGTCGAGCCCGAGACTCTCAATTTCTCGAGGCTGAACGAGAAAAGGCAGTATCAGGTGACGTTTACACGGCTCGCTGCACCCAACAAGCCATTTGTTCAAGGCTTTCTAATATGGTCTTATTGTAAGTACACTGTTAGGAGCCCTATTGCAGCTATACTGCAAGGGCCGCAATCATGGAACTGAGCTGCAGATAGATGTACTACTACCAAAGAAATCATGAAACTAAGTGCAATAATGGGAATAAAATTATAATTATGCTGAATAATTGGGAAAAGAAAGTTGCCCAAATATTTTGCAAGCATGACATTAATTCCTAGTTGAACAGGACTCATTGGAGTCAACGAACAATTACTTGGGCCGACTTGAACCATGAATAGGGGGACCAATTTCTGAAGACTCGAGGGTAGTCTCTCCTGAAATGTATTGGATTCCAGAGAAAAAAGAAAACTCTAACAAAAAATTCAGAGACTTACAAAGTGCATCAATTTTGTATTAGCATCTGTAAAATAAACTGATTCACTTAGAAACCCCGGTGTTCAAGCATACGCATAAGAATAAAAGGAAGATTCACCTAAGGCCAACTATGTGTGTTTCTGCATTACAGAGGAAACATATAATTGTGTAAGTATTGAGCTCTGCAAGAAGGGCGTGGCACATCTATTTCGCTTTCGTGTTCAATAGCAAGAAATTTTTACCAAAGATGAAAAGCAAAGCTACGAACGTGAATACCTACAAGAAACTTAACCAATTTCCTTTCATAAAGCAATTACCAGTTTGTCCAGTTGATTACAGTGACCATACCTAAAACCTAATATCCAACGACATCGACAGGCACCCCCGGCAATGACTACATCGACCTCGCCGCCTGCGCCGCGTTCGCGTGACCGGCGCCGGCGAACGCCTACTCTGATAACTGGGCGGATTACGCCGTCGGGCTCACTTGTTAGGTCCGAGTCCTTGCCCGATCAGAACTTCAGAAGAGTGGCGCTGGGCGGAAATCTGTTTGTTTTGTCATTTAGTTCGGGTAATAATCTCGATAAATAGTTTGAGGGACCAATCAAAATATTTCAAAGATAAACTATACAGAGAAAAAAAAAAGAATAATGCTGGACACAACTTGAATAACAACTTGAGTTACAACTCAAGTGTAAATGCATTATTCTTTTATTTTTTGATAATACACTTGGGTTGTAAACCAAGTTATCATCCGAGTGAGACGTTTCGGGGAGGGAAGTGAGATCACTATATTGACAATGCAATTATACATAACATTGTGCTCTTGGTGCCCTTAAGTTCTATGAGTGTCCAAAGTTCTATGAGTGTAAATTCATTGTTTACCGATTTTTGGATCTCTTTCGTATTTGATGCTTAAATTTTCCTCTTAATTAGCTAATTGGTTGGCTTCAGCTCGGGCACGGGTTTATCTGAATTTTAAAGTTATCACTTAGTAGGTTTTCATACCAAGGCTCAATTCAATTAAATCCGTAACTTCTACCGATTTCGCCATATCCCCTTGAGAATAGGATCTTATTATGGTCTCATTCATTTTTTTCTTTCATTTCAACTCATACTCAAATCCTTGAATTTCTTAGGTAGGGATTACTATCGCGAAAAAATGGATTTTCTTTCTTACCTCCAGCTGAGCGAAAAATGAACAAGAATCACTGAATTAGAGAGCGAAGAATTCGATCCTACACACATTAAATCCACCTAAGAGAATATTTGCTTAACGCGGCCAAAAGGTTTGAACATTTAGTTTGTGCTAACCATTTTAGGTGAGTCGAAAATGAGTAGGGCTCATTGGACTAGAGAGAGGTGGGCAGAAGGTTTGAAGCATTTGGTTGCCTTACTATGCTAATGTTAGGCATCAAACGACATTAGCATAAAACTATGATGTATGAATCGTCTGTTGAGCACTGACATGATACATGCCATGTCATGAACACGACCTAGGGAAGAAGGTAAAATTGTCCGTGTCAAATTTGGAGCAAATATCGACGAAAAGGCATTGGTGGTGTTCTTGATGGAAGGTGAGATTGCTGGTGTTGATCTCGATGTTTGTATGCTCAAACCTCATGTTCCCAAAGAGATGACAAGGTAGAGAAATTACACTTCTTCCTCAACAATGTTAATTTATGGGTCACCCATACAATTGCATGAAGTGTTGTGCGCCTTCTAAGATTGCACAATATGCATCACAAGAAGCCATGGCAATCAAGTCNGCAATTAAAAAAAAAAAAAAACATGGTTTAACCAACAAAATAATTTTGCTGTACAAAGGGGATGGTTTTCAAAGGTCTGACCAATTGGTTATTCTGGAGAACGAAATGCACATGTAACTTCTTATGTACAAGTTCATAGCCACAACATAACATGTAGTACAACTAATGTTACAACAGGAATTAAGCAATGACTCCTGAATATCAGGACAAAAGGTGCAATTTTTCCGCAAAAAAAGAAGAAAGGTTCAAAGCAAATGCCGCTTCGCGGGTAAATGAAACTGCAGCTCATTGTTACATCACAAACTTGATCCAAGTAAATCTCATTCAAGGGATTGACTGTAAGTCCTTTTCTTTGAACTGCTGGCTGATTGCCTGTTCAAAAAAAAAAAAATTACAATAATCAAATCACTAAATCTTATCCAGTTATTACATATGTACCCCAAAATACCACTAAATACTTACGAATCTTCAGAACGTTCTTTACTCGATGACGACTTCTGTAAGCTTGTGGATCGCCCGGCAGCCTGTGAAAATGAGCACCAAGTCTCAACTAGCTTAGGCTCATATTTAACATGACTTTGTTGAACAAAGTTTTATACTTGTTATGAATGAGATGTGTATGTGAGATCACACTCTCACACACAACAGTTGATACCCGTACCCCTTGCACAGGTATTAACGCTAGGAGAACCCGAACTAGTAATAACTACAATTCAAGGGCTAATCATTTCTCCAACACGAATATTGACTGTGAAAACAAGATACACATTTTCAAATGATGTAAATCAATTGGCTACACAATCTTTCTTGTATCTGAATTAGTATTAAGAACTTCAAATGATGGAAAAAATCATCTCTTGCATTGCCAAATTTAACCTGGCAAAATATGTATGTCTTCTTTGGCACAGACCACATAAAGTAATAATGTACATCAAAAATACAGGAGTAAGCTATAACTATACTGACTGATTGGTGTAATCTTCTGCTCCGACAAGTATGAGCCTCAAGGTATTCTTCATAAGTCTGCATCACAAATTGAAAACGACAGCCCTCAGTAAGACAATTTCACCCAAAATTGAGAACACCTATTCTTCTTACTCGAGATTAATAACAGAGATAAGTACAAATCACACAGAAATCAAACGAAAGATGTAAACCACACAAAATATGAATATGCAGCAAAAGTTTCAAGAACTGGAATACTGTCGAAATTATGAAAGACCCTGAGATATCATAATAAAAGCAATCATAAAACCCCCTTAAGTCTCTTGAACATTCACATGAAAAGCAACTTCACATAAACAGCCTTAATACTGCCGTCAAAGCATTACTACATTAAAATTGGATTTAGAGCTACCTTAGGAATCATAACAATTAAACTTCTCTAGATCAAAATGCTCTTCTTGGACCCACTTAGATCAACACATTCATATCTTTCTATTAGAGTAAGCATGGATATTAGGATGGAACTCTTGCTGACTTGCTCTAGACAGTATGAAAATATTCAGAATGCATAATTTCCAGCTTTTATGGTTCAAAATCATTCTGACTGAAGTGAAAGAGTTTTACATTGACAATCTATAAGTAAATTTAGTACAGAACATTGATTTAAATTCAGTGAGCGAGCGAGAGAGAGAGAGAGAGAGAGAGAGAGAGACCATTTTCTCGTTGAAGCAAAAGATTACAAGAAGCAGAACAAGTAACAACCCATCCGAAGGAAAAGAACCCAATAACTTTCAAATCAAAAAAGGAATATGCAAAGACTAACTGATACAGTTCATCATTTAGCTCCCAAACTTCATTAAGTTCCATACTAACTGAAACAACTAAAAGATACAGTAGACAGTCACTTTAAAGTTTAAGATGAGGCACCAATACCATTCCCAGTATATCATCTTCTGTCAAAGTACCAGAAAAGGGGGTCCTCTCTGCTGGCAAGCCCCAACTGTTAATTTGGTTATCAGTCCTATTAGCTGAGCTTCCATTTACTCGGAAACTCCTTGATTGTTTTAATTTTGGCGCCTCAGGGACACTTGAAGAGTTATTAAGAATCAACCCAGGTGTCTGGTGTGGCAACTGAAACCCAGTGAGTTCAGCTTGATGTTGATATAACAAAGACGGGTAAAGCAAAGGTGCCATATGCATTGGTGGCCCATTAAAATCCTCAAGTTGTACAGAATGGAATTCACAAGGAGTTCGTACGGAAAAATCACCGCCAGGAACTTCATCCCTTCATCAAATAATTTATATCATTAAGTAAAACGAAAAAGAAAAGAAACAACCAATGTGCAGTTATTAATTATATATTAATGATTGATCGAGAACTATACCTTCTCAGGATAGCATCCGTACCATAACCTTCATCAAGAAGCTGACAAAGAGCTTCACCAATATCCCCAGGCAACTCCTGTGAAAAGAATAAAATAATAATATAATCTGGTCATCCCTCATCCCTTCATGTACTGATAACCTCACTGTAAGAGAGGTCCTCAAAGCTGGGATAATTAGTACCTGACAGTCTCTGCTGATTTTGACAGGCTTGAAGTCATTCCATGGATTTTTCAAATGGAGAGTCTGCTGAAACGGCAAGTCATTTAGACGTAGCCACTTGACTTTGAAACTACGGCCCCATGGATTATTTTTTCCACTTCCTTGATTCCAAATGCTATCCCTCCTCCAACCAACGGAAGACATCATTTGAGCATACCCTTGGAAGAAACCACTCATGTTGACGCTAAATATAAGAATTACTTTGCCAGAATTCTGCATAATCACTTAAATTGAATTATTTATGTGCTTAGTTTCTTGCTAACGATTTGGTGAAACTCATTCTAGCGCTCTTAGTAACGCAGAGAGTCATCCCTTCAGGGCTATCTATAATACATAAATGTCCAGAAAAAAATGTGCTAAAAATCATATTACATGAAAAGACGAAAAAAAGAAATGTTACTTGAAAGGCCTCTTCAAGAATGGGCTCATTCATTACTTGAGTTGCCCAAATTCCATTCTTTATTGACAATTGTATATTTTGATGATTCAAGCTCTTGATAATAAAATATCTTGTTTTATTCAATTTATCTTTCTTCATTTCACTTTGCGATCCCATCCGGTCACGAGAAAGCCCTAGCTCTTCTGGCTCCGAGAGAAATGTTCCCTCATTTGACGTACCCCTTGGCGAAACTACATGTATTACAAAATGTCATAAAGAAAGTCCATAGGGTAACTCTGGCATTACAAAATTGAAACTAAAATTAACATGCCAACCACAATGAAGTCATGCATCATCAAATTAACTTAAGAATCATTTCATTTCATACAACTACTAACGATTCTCAAAAAAAATGAAACTTCCAATCTGGAAACCATACATCACGCAAAGTGCTCTATACTACCAAACAAAATTCTCAAAAAACAATATCTCAAATCCCGCTTCTCACTCTGACGTGCCTAGGTGCATGATACGCATAGTTATCGAGAACTTAATGATAGTCCAGACATGTTTATGGATCTAACGTAAGAACCCTGATATTCATGTGGTAGAAATGGTTAAAAATAATAACACCAGCAGAGCAGTTAGGACTGTCCGCTGCATACAAGTTACATTTTCTCCTAAATTCATGATTCCTAAAACACTGGGTGAGAGTGAAGAAATAAAAAGACCCTCTGTGACTGGAACAGTTTAGGACAATTAGATACTGCCAGAAATGCAGGTCAGAGCCTGTTAGACCAATAACCAGCCCCCATCCTAATCCACTCCTTTTCCATAAATCATTACCACAGAAAGGTCCTCTGAAAGCAAAAAATCATCCATTGTTATGAATCATGCCAGTTGAGAATGTCCAATAAACAATCGGTGCTATACAGAAATCATGCAAGTACAAATAATAGACTAAGTACAATGATTTCATCAGAAGGAAAGTACAATTCAACACACACAAATTAAATCAACAATTTACAACATTCTCACCAGAATCATGCAAGCTTGTCATATCCTTTTTGCATTCATTCATGGATGAATCAACTGTCGAAGCAACTCTTTTTGCAGCATCAGAAGACATGCCTTGACCTCCTATTCTACAGAAGGAGAATAAAGGCAAGCCATAGTGAGACCTAAAAAGTCCCTAAGAGCAACAAACTTGAAGCAAATAACAAAACTCAAATTGGAGACAGAACAGTATAAAACATTTAATTAAACATACAAGCACGCAAGTATCAGAAACAATTTTCTTGCAGAAAATTATGACTAAGAAAAGAAGTAGAGAGAGCTTGGAAAACTCTTTGACCATGCTTCATCATAGTAACAGCAGAAAGCATCTCTAGTCACTGCATAATTGTTGTAAACTAAAGATCAAACTGGAATAAGTTCATCTAGTTTCAAGCATCAGTGGGGTCCAAAAATGATAGCAAAGCACTGTATTAACTAATAATCACCACAACAAATGTTAAAAAATATGGTTGGAAGTATAAGAAACAACAAGACTGAAGACCCCAATTTAATAGAGCATTTTAATACATTCATTTCAATGCAAGCTGCTTGGCACTATCCCTTCTCTATTCAAAGGAACTCGTCTGGTGTTAGATATGATTCAGACTCAACAATGGTCATAAGCATCCTAAGATGTTACATATACATTGTTTTAATCTCTTCTTTTACCTTTATATAGTGCAGCAAACTAAATGACCAAACTTCTCATCCATCTAACCAATACTTTAGCAAAGGATCATAAAAGAATCACCTGGACCTTCCCCTTCCAAACAACAGCTTAAATAAATTTCTTACTTTTTTACTCACCTCATTTCTCAAGATCACACATTTTCTTTAACCTGAACTTCCGTACTCATCCGTATAGAAGTAAAACATACTCTAACTCTTTTTTAGAGATTATAAAAAATCCATTTGCTGATTCCCCTTACACCTATTCTCACCGTAGAAAAAANACGCCTATTTAATAAATCGATAATGCATAACAAGAAAAATTCAATTCATATAATTAAAACACATATACAACTCAATATAGAAATACTTAGTAGATTTTGCATAAACATTAATTAAACTCAAGGCAATCATGCGAGGGAGAGAGAGTCGCACTCCATTGGAAAGATGAACCAGAAAATAATATGCATAACAAGAACAAATAAATTAATACAATTAAAACACATATACAATTTAACATAGAAATACTTAGTCGATTTTGCATAAACATAAATTAAACTCAAGGAAATCGTGCAAGGGAGAGAGAGTCACACTCCATTGGAAAGATGAACAAGAAAAAAAAGGTGAATAACCCCTTCCACACAGAATGAGCAGAACGGAGAGAAACATGCGGAGGCACTTATGAGCAACGCGTTCTGATAAGATCTTCTGCCCTAGATATTTTATCATTCAACTCAAAGCCCTATTAATTTTCTTTTTCTTTATTTTATATTAAAAAAATACAGAATGCAACTCTGTAATTGAATTCTTAAGTCAAAATAACAAAATAAATGCATACGCTCCACCTAGAATCTAATCACGGAATGTTCTCATTAACACAACCACTTGTAACATGTAGGATGCAATTAATATTGTACAGACATAAATGACAAACAAAAAAAGTGAGTCTGAACCCTGAAGAAGCACGACAACGAGTATCATTAGTCAACAAAAATTATATTAGTTTGAACAGATATTTGCTTCAGAAAAAACTTAATGTATCTGGTGAATGCCTACTGATTCTCTTTGTCATGTAACTCTACTTTCTAACAATATGCTTATAGTATATGCTATTGGAGAAGTGCATATTATAATCACATTCCAACACACAGAGAAACAATATTTAGCTAATGTAGTCTCGAACAATCATAACTAACACGTCTATAAAATCCTACATAATTCAAAAGTTTCATGTTTCAAACAAATAATAAATATCAAATATTCTTGAAAAAAAAAATAAAGAAAATATTAACTTAAATCACAATGAAAAAATATTTGTAACTGAGGTTAATTATTGTCAAGTATATATAAATATAAGTATTTAAAAATTATTTAAATTCAGGAAGAACGAATGCCAATAAAATTTCCATCATTGGGCTATTGGGTTGGGCCATTCCTGTGACTGACTAGATGTACACATAATGGATTGAGGTCCAGGAAAAATCTTACTAGTTCATTTAAACATGCCAATAACATAAGGGAATTCAGGAAATCCGTCGGTTTGGGTAAAATCAATAAGTTCATAGGTCAAATGTATATTACAATTTTGTTACAAGAGATAGAATTTGCATATGAAAAAGAATGCAAGAACTTTTAAGGCTAACATTTTAATCAGCATAATAACTAAAAAAACTAAATGCTACTCCCTCCTATTCATAATAAGTGTCGTTTTGGGAAGTTGCACACTAATTAAGAATAATTTTTTTGCCAATAATAACCCTCATTAATGAAGATAGAGATGGATGTTTTAAAAAAAAGATGAAGAGAATATGAAAAGACATAGTGTATTTATTAACTAAATGAGGGTAATAATGGAAAAATATGTACAAAAGATCCAAAACGACATTTATTTTGGTTAACAGTTGATAAAGCCAAAATGACATTTAAAAAGAATAGGAGGTAGTAATAAATTTGAAAATAGTAATGACTTCAATTGTATAAACAAGTATACTTACACATGAGAAAACCACTCCAATTCAAAGAAGATCCTGTTTATCTAATTACATAACAATAACAAGCCACGTGATGCTCTTCTATCAATCAAAATTTCTTACTTTGAATCAAATATATTTGCATTGCATTACATCATAATAGTTCATTATCAATAAGTTAATGAGTAATCATCATTAAAATCACCAACTTTCAGTTATCAACAGCGAATTAATTATTTAGTTTAGAAATTGACAAATAATCACCCTTTCGCCATAATACTATTCTTGCTAATTTTGGTTTTGACAAGATCCAACAGCAACAAATCACCTAAACTTGATTATTACAACTACACTCTATATTGCACAGATCAACATAATTAACTTTATCATCACTATATTATCAGAAACAACTGAAATTCTTCAACATCCTACATATTTTTTCCTCGAAAAAAGATAACTTTCCTGAACATTCATTGTTAAGGCTTCCCAAAGTGTATAGAAAAAGATGTCATTGTATTATTGGAACTTGTCGCCCACTTCCTTCACTCTTTGTAGAGTAAAACACCACTACCTTGCATCTCCCCTATCAGTTAGTCTTATTATGAATTTCAAAATATTGATTGAACATGGTTTTATTATATAAAACTTACGAGGTCAAACCAAGGACCTATGAAAGTCTGGTATCATCCTTCGTGGGTTAGATTTTTATGTGTTTCCACTTTCAAGTTCTACTTAAGGCCACTGCATGTGTACAATTTGAAAGAGACTTATCACAGTAGAGCTGAGTGGATAAGTACCTATTAACTCATCATATGTGGCTTTATACGAGATCGGTCAGTAAAGTGACGAAGCTATTAAATACACATTTAATACAAATGCAATAAATGGATACTTATTGGCTAATTCTTTAATAATTCAGGTTTGGTTGTTGATTAAGAATGGACAGGATATCTTAAGTTGATTCTCCAAAAAGTCCATCTTAGATAGGTAAGAAAGGGAGATTTAGGGAAAAGTCTTGTGTACAGAAATTTTCCTAAATGGCCCAATCAAGCACTTAAGACGCTCATTGAACAGAGCATAAATCTAGATAAGATTAATATGGCACTAAGAAATCAAATTATGAATGTTATACACTCATCAGTATATAAGAACAATTCAAGAAATCAAGATTCCATAAACATAGGGATGATACTACATAATAGTTATTAATTTTTACCAAAATTGCTATCACCACACCATTCAACAAAAGAAATAATAAATATTTATCCAAAACTGTTCCTAGTGGCTTTGTGCACTGAAGGCTTAGACAAGCCTCTTAAATGAGAGGATCTTAACATCAACGCTGTAAGCTAATAACACAATTGGCATTAAGAATTCAATCTGACCACACAACAAAATTACAATCAGCTATAACTAACTATAGTCCAAAAATTGCAGTAAAAATGTACAATACTGAAACTAACCAACAAAACTAAAAAAGTTGAAGCATGCAAACAACAAGATCTCAATTTAAGGAATATACTAAACTTTTTACTTAACTACAGTTTCATGAGATTCATGCCTTTTATTTTTCTATTAGTGGGATAGATGCACTTCAGGCTCAACAATGATCTCATGCCAGTTACAGTAATAACTTCCAACACTATTCTTGCACCAAGACACTATGTAGACACAATAACATGACAAAAATATCCTGCAAGTCGGCTTCGGCATACAAACATTAGAAAGTATCTTAACAGTTTTATGGGCTAAAGATGCATGTGTAGCCATTGAATTCTCTACTCCAACGAAGTCCCAGATGTTAGCAAGAAGGTATTCCAGGAAGCAATAATTTGGAACAAGGAGATCTGATATATGTTCTTAATATATATAAATATATATATATATACACACACATTACTTCTTGAGCTCATTTTGCCAATTCTCCACACAAAAGTGTAACAAATTTTCATTTTTCCTGTATAATCTAAAGAAGTTCACTCCAAAAGTGCTTTTTCTTTCCTAAAATCCGGGATTTTTTTCTTTTTTTGTTTTCTAGAAGGTGATATATCAGCTACGGTAGCATGGCTTTTTCACATATTTCACTAGTTCCATGTGCAAAACCACCTAAACTGGGACTTTTTCAACCAAATAATAGTAGTAATTATAATAATTAGCAATGATAAATGTCTTGCGACCTCGAAAACCATCGACCAAACTCGGAAAAAATGAAATTATCAAGCTTAGACTCAATGATACCATTTTCACCTTCTCCAGTTCATTACGCACATTGTTATTATTGTTGAAAACACCTCCATGAAAGGTGCTCGCAGCCCCTATTCGGACCTCAATTAACTCGCACGGAGGATAAAATAATAGGAAATTATAATTGAAAATGAACACAAACACAAACACACACATACAAACACCACTACAAATGGAAATGTTCCCACAGTGATCATATTCAGAATTCAAACTCACGAGATTCACGCGTCAGAGAAAGAAACAGTAGGAGCATTATGGGAAAGTAGAATCATAAAATAAGTAACAACGAACATACCTTCGTCTAGACAGAGCAGAGAGGAGGAAAACTTGGAGAGAAAAAGAGGAGGTGTCTGGTGAAGATTTTTGATAAGAACATTTGCCCTAGGTTTTTAACTAATAATTCATTTGCAGAGTTTTTCTTTTATCTTTTTATTTTAGTATGTATTTTTTTATTTTTCTAAACTAAAAGTACAACATGGTGATATGTTTGAAAAATCAGGTAAAAATTTGAAAATATAGTAGTAAATTTGATTTGTGGACAACTATATAGAATTGTGAACCAGAAGACAAAAAAAAATGGAATTTTTTTTTATTCATAATTAATGTTGTTGTGGTAATTTACATTCTATATTAACATATTTAGTAATATCACAACTTTCAATCATCCAATGTACAATGTCATCACATATGTTGTGGTGATGTGGATATAATTAATGTTTACAAATGTAGAAAATTATTTTTACCATTTTCAAGTTATTTAATTATTTAATTAATTTTTTTTATTTTTATTAAAATTTTAATATTTGGTACATAGATAATATTGTAGTTAGACTACATTGTGCATTGGAGATAATTTTTTAATTTTATAGTTGTGAACTTAGCATTTGTCTTACATAGTTCACAATCTATTTAATTTATTGTGAACTAGATATTTGGAATTTTTCATTTCTGTTTGANACAAAAATCCCCAAACCCTTCGGGGGTGATTGTTTATGAAATAATTTGTTCGAAATGAATTATTTTGGTTAACTATAGTTAATTTTGAAAAAGGTGGTATGGTTAGTTGTTAGTGAAATTTTAAGAATGTGTTATAATAATACTTAAAATAAAATGATTATAATTGATTTGATGTAAGGAGATAAATGATTGGTAGTTAAAATTATGTGAGTGGGATGAATAGTGAATTGAAGTTGATGTGATGTGTAAGAATGATTGGTTTGTATTATTTAATTATATGAATAATATTAAAGATAGTGGGTTGAGTTAAAGTTGAGTTAGATTTTGAGTATGAAATAAATAGGAATAAAATAGTTCATAAACAATCAAGCCCTTCGTCTTCAACCTCGCATCAATTTCGCTGGTTCGCCTCTCTCAGCGGGCCGTCCGGGCTTGTCCGTGGACGGGACTCGGTCGCACTTCCATGGATCTGGTCGTGGTACCCTATTCTTTGCTCTCAAGTCGTGGGAAGTTGGTCGGGTGTTCGGCAATTTATCCCATCTTGGTGAATCCTGCCGGCGATCAGGGACGGTGGGGCTCGGTGGGGTCCGGCGCCAATGGGTGGAGGTGGCTTGGTTTGCTTGCGTCGCCACTTTGGAGGGACGACTCTCCTTGTCAGTTTCCGCATCTGGGCTCGATCTGGACCTCCGTTTCCTATCGGGGTTGTCTAGTAACCTCCGATTACTGGTTCATCGGCGAGGTAGGGGTGACAGCTTGGGTTTGTGTTGGGGGCTCAGTGGGGTGCTTGTTGCTCGTTCGGGTGGGGTCGGAGCAACTGGGCTCTGCTGCCACTTCTTCCCTTTCTCCCTTTCTCTTTGATGCTGAGTCATAGGGAGGCCTGCCGTTTCCGGAATTGGCTAGTGTGTTAGTTGGGTCCGAATCGGTGCTGGAATTGGCTAGTGGTGTTAGCCGGTTGAGGGGATTGTGGCAGCTTTCGGTCGGAGTGCGGGTCGATTTCTCTGGTTTGATTCTGGGCTTGGGTCTTCGTCTTGCTAGCTTTTAGGCAGTGGTGGGCGTGGTTCCTGTGCTTTGCATCTCTCCTAGGGCTCGGTCTAAGTCCCCTATTCACTTCGGATGTATTGCTGAGGGAGGGTTGCAATTCTTTAGTTTTAGTTGTTTTTGTTTGTTCTAGGATTGTTTTTAGTTTGTTGTTTAGTCTTGTGTTTTTTGGTTTGGGCAGTTTGCCTCTGTGAGCCCGAGTATCGACTTATTATCCTGTTGGGATCAGACATTCGGGTATTGTCCTGTTGGGATCATTTTTAGTTTTGTTTGTGTAGTTGATTTAGTGTTTCTGTGTTTTTTATGTGTTTTCCCAAGTATTACCCTGTTGGGGTTGGCTCTAGGCGATCTTCGGATCTGCCTCCCAGTTTTTCAGTCTTTGGTTGTACTATTCAGCCTTTGACTGCTTTCTCTTCACACTTTGTGCGGCTTTTATTAATATAGTATAGTACTTCTATCGTTTTGAGAAAAAAATAAATAAATAAATATTCGCTGCATAATTTTTTTATTCACCAATCATTACCAACTAATTTTATTATTGTTTATATTACATCAATTCTAGTTCTATATTTTTATTTTATATATTGACAATCTCAAAAGTATTTAACTGTTTATATTTTTTCACTTTTTCATCTTACTTAGACAACATTTTTTGTAGGGATGCATACAGGGGCGGAGCCTTATATGGGCAAGATGCCCACACTGGAAAAAAAATACTATCTTGTATACTTTGCTTATAATATATCTTCATACTCCATTAATAAATTAAAAAGAAAAAAAAAATAAGCAACAATGGGAACACAAAGAAGGTAGAAAAAGAGATAATGAGGAAAAAAAAATCATTGTTCTTGTTTATTTTGGTGAAAGTAAATATAGTCATTTTTATTAGATTTGATATAAAAATTTAAACTTATAGTTAATTAAATGTTGTTTCTTAAAGACTATTTACATATTTAAATTTGTATGTGACTAATAAATCGTAGGGCTCTTATAAGTTTGATATATTAGATAAAAGCATTTTATACATTATAATTTATTTTTTTATATCAAATTATGGAGTATATTTTTATAAATAGTCTTGACTAAAAGTGCGTGTGAAAATATTTCAAAATTAGCTTTGTTTAGCTCTTATATACTTGAGGTGAATTATAATATTTTTAGTCCGAAAGAAAATGTAAAGCCTTTATTATAAAGTCATACCAAACTATAGAAACTCATAAGAATTTTTATTAATGTGTATTTTTGTATTCATACTTTACTATGATGTATTATAATTTTTTTTCTTAAAACAAGTAGGCCCTCACTCATTTTATAAGCTACATCCGCCCCTGGATGCATATATGACTAATTTTTTGATCATATATACTTACCGAGTAAGACACGAATTTAAAATATAAAAATAAAATAAGAAAATAAAGATTTGTGTGATCTTTAAAATCATGTCGAATTTGGTAATGAAAGAGATATTGAAGGGAGGCATGATATGTGGTGGAAAAATTATTTATGGCACTTTTCAAACCAATTTTGATTCCAAAATTTTTGCCCGACCCTAAAGTTTTCTAAAGTTGCAGAATCCGTACATGGAGATATCAATTGTCCACTCGCATGCAAACACAAGAAAACGACTTCGTTATGTTCGACATAAAACGACGTCGTTTTACTTAATTGCTACGAAAAAAACAAAAACGTCGTCGTCCTGACACGCCAGAAAACGAGAAAACATGCAACAGAAATAACAGAATTTCGAGCTTGCATGAGCTTTGATCACCATCTTCAACATGGTGTTTCACTTTCACCATCTTCAACATAAATATTAATTTGACTTTTCTATCATTAATCATGTTTCTATGTCATGTTAATTTTTTTATTGATTCTTTTGTGAAGTCTAATGTTTGCATTCATGCTATAATCTTGCCGACTCTACTAATCATCATACTTAATCGCTAACTAGAAAAATGTGTATGATATAGCAACCAATTTGCTACTACTTTCATGTTTTGCAATTAATTTGTATATGTAACAGGTAATATTTGAACATGGCTAAGCCCGCTTTCATGAACTTGTATGTGCATACCGGCATTGTACCCGTCATGTTCAAGAGGTACAACATTTTTTTTTCCTTTTTTATTTTTTGGATATTTTTTGGTGTGAGAGTTGAGACATCAAGTTGTGACCCTTGTCCTGATTGTTATGTTACTAACAGCTGACACAAGAAATCCGATGCGAATTGTGATCATGAACTCAAATTATAAAAATATTGGAATTAGTTGTTCATATGATGCTTAATACTTTTCTCCTTTAGTTCCTGATCAATAATCAGGTCGGCTTTTCTTATTTTTTATATTTTTTTTTATTATTATTATTTTAACGAATCAAGTCGGGTTAACTTTGTTGAAGTTTTCTGATTCTTAGGGGACTAATTCGAAAAACAAGTTTGAAAATGTCTGAATGGATATCTGTTGTAGAGCAGTATTTAAAATTAAAATCAAAAACAGAATAGGATCATTTGCCTTCAAACTAAAACGTCAGGATAGTTTTTATATCTGCAAGATCAAATTGTTCGAGATCAAGTGAAAATCAAGAATCAAACTAATCAAACAAAAATCCTACTCCGCCTAATTTGAAACATCTGATCCAATAACTAGTGAAAAAGAAGTGAAAATCAAATTTAGTAAGATTATTACTTTTACATATGTAGAGTTAATTACTTGTTATCCTCAGCTCTAGTGGCCACCCAAAATTGCTTTAATCATTTCTGATATATTCATTATTTACATTACTAGGAAGGCACATGGATAAAATTACAGATGCAACATTAATCATAATACACATTTGTAGATAAGAAGTTTCTAGTGTTTTTATATTCAGGTGCTGTATCAAATTTGAAGCACTATAAAAAGCAAACACTGATCATGATAAGTGAGATGTATATAAAAGCTTTCTTCATAAGGAAGCTCCATCTGGGGCAGTAACATAATTATACATATAATAGATTATTTTTCAAGAATGGTTCCCCCTAGAGCAAGCAATTTTGATGTATTCTAGCCCACAAAGTGATTGGAGACTTGGAAGTGAGAGACACAAAATTTTGTATTAATTAGATATCCAAACATAGGAAAGAAGGTTCATTCTCAGCATGCACCAATCTACTAGTGTAAACAGTTGCCCCTTTAACACCTTTTGACTTCAATTGATCATCACAAATCCACGCTCCCAAAATCATCATTGCTCACAACCCCTTTCTTTCTTCAACGTCCGAGAAAACGTCATATCCACTGCATTGAAAGGCAAGCATTCAATAAAGAAAACCTGCACCAATACAAAACACTACTAATATACAATTACTGCATAAGAACCAGAAAAGTTGAGCAGCACTTTTATGCCTCAGATTTTTTTCTCCGTTAATCGATAAATATTGCTTACGCTACACACCTGATTCAAACTACTCAAATGGGACCAGAGTCCCCCGTTTCTTACATCTAATCACTATGCAATTGATGGCTCATGCTAGTGATGTGCACTTCAAGCATAATAACACCACCCTTCATAGTGTGCCATTTATTTTCTCCCACAAAAGTAAAAAAGAACGAGATACAAATCATTTTCTCCAGTCCCTATCTAAAGCTTCCATTTTCATGCCTNCCTAAAAAAAAAAAAGAAAGAAAAAAAACCACAACAGAACACATCACAAGCTAAACACCAGCCAAGATTTGCTCATTTCCTCAAACCATTACACAAACCTTTTCAAATGGGCTTCATACCTTCCACGATCACTCTCTTCCTTCTGTTACTAACAACAACAACAACACAATCCCTAAGCTCCGAATCCCGAGCAATCAAGTCTGCCAAACTCCTTGACCTTGTCATCCGGGATTACACCTTCAGATCACACGATAACCTGAAGAATTTCAAGACGGGCAGGCTCTACCCAGTTGAGCTTCCCTCTAACCTGTCGGGCATACAGGTCGATGTGGTCAGGTTCAGATGTGGCAGCCTCCGTAGATATGGCGCGGATATCAAGGAGTTCCGATTACGACCCGGGACCCGTGCCCGACCCTGCTCCAAACGGGTCATCCTCGTCCGCCAAAACCTAGGTACAAGTTGGTCCTCCCTGTACAACGAAAACTACGAGCTCTCGGGCTACCGGCTGATTTCCCCAATTTTGGGCCTGCTTGCTTACGGCGTCGGCTGCACGAACAGCTCCGCTATACCGGAGGTCGAGATTCAGGCCGGAAAAGACCCGATCACGATCGATTTCAGGGCGGCGGGTTTGGAAAACGCGAGCCAGGGGATTATACCCCTGTGTGCGGCGTTCGAAGAGGGCGGGAGGATGAGACTGTCGGGCCAGGGGGGGTCCGGGGTGTGCGAATCGGGCCGGCAGGGACACTTCGGGCTGGTGGTGGAGGCGCCGCTGATGCCGCTGAGGAGGAAGGCGGGGCGGGCGAGGGTGGCGGTGGGGATCGCGGCAGGGGCGGCGCTGGGGGCGTTCCTGCTGGGGCTGCTGGCGGTGGCGGTGGTGGCGAACGGGAGGAAGAGGAGGAAGGAGAGGGTGGAGGAGATGGAGAGGAGGGCGTACGAGGAGGAGGCGCTACGGGTGTCGATGGTGGGGCACGTGAGGGCGGTGGCGGCGTCGGCGGCGAGGACGATGCCGAGGATCGAGCACTTCGAGCGCCGGCGCCGGCAGGATGCGAGATCGAGTTCGTAGATTTGATTTTTGTGAGGTTTTATTTTATTTTTCCTTCTTTACTTGGTGTGTGAATAAGTGAATTTGTGATTAATTGTGTATTTATTTATGTGTGTAATTTGGGAATTAGGGGAAAAGATGCTGACCCAGTTTTAATTTTCATCTCCTGTCGATGTTTTTGACTAGACAATTTTTTGTTGTACCATTCAAGAAATAAAATAATTAAAAAAATGTGTTTAATTTTTATTATTTAAGTTTCCTTTTACTTGTGATTTTGAGCGCTTATTTTAAAACATTCACAATACTTTGTTCTAAGTTTACTTAGTTATCATGATAATAAACTCAAATTTTAAGTGATGTGAGAAAATTGAAAAAAAAAAAGGATGGTATTCGTTTCGATAGATTTATTTTTATATCGGATCCAAAATGATGCACTAAGTAAATATGAGTGATTTAATTAAATAATAATTTTATGGAAAGACATTGGATCTAAATTCATTTTTCAAATTGATTAGAGTAGAGACTAGTCCATTTTTTCACATGTCACATCATATAACTTTGGTCTCATTTTGTTTACATCTTGGAGTGATTTTCTAACGAAAGGTCCAAAATGGCATTAGACATTTTCTCAAATATACCAAATTATTTGAGATGCTACAAATTTTAGGTAAATTGACCCGTCATACTTTATGGACAAATATATATATATATATATATATATATATATATATATATATATATAAACTAGTGGGCTCTCGGCTGTGCACGCACAGCCGACCCGAATTCAATCTACAATTATGAAATATTGATTGTTTTTTTGTTTATTGCTTAAGATATATCCAACCTTTATTTTTGGCCAACTCGAAGAGTACACATACATACATTTGCCAACATTTTTAAAAGTAGATTGAAATTAACTCATATAAATCCCTCACAAAAATAAGAATCCCGACAACATAATAAAATATCCCTCCATGAAGACAAAATGTATCAACCTGATAACACAAATTGTATCAACCTGGATAGAGAAGGTATTTTCCAATCATATGTATAAATGGCTTGCATATAATGTAAGAAACATATAATTCAACAACCAGAGTAAAATTTCCACCCAAAGACCCACAAGAGGGCTCGTATATTTATTTTCCAAATTTATAAATCTCTTGTACAACTTATTACACATCAGAAGAAAAAAATTGTAGCATGTGATTGACACACAACACATTTGCCAAGTAATGGCAGTGAAGATGTTGCCTTTAGGACTATGAGTAGCATGTGCACGCACAGCCGGCTCAAATTTAGTCAAAAATTTTGCACAATTTAAATAGGTAACAACAAAGTAGTTAATGATAGAGAAGAACGTAAGCTAAATGCATTCACTATAGTATTTTAATAATCACAACACCTGTTTATAGACGCCAACTGAAGGGTTGAACTATACCAAAGTAATTCAAAAGCCGGCACAATTTGACAATCACAACCATGGCCTTCTATTACAATACAAAGCATGAAAAAAATACAAGCTCAGTCAATCTAAAGACAAAATCTGAAAAGAGATGATAAGTCCTCTCGGCTCACACAGACAAGCTCTAAAAAAATCACCGTAATTGTCACTACAAGAGCGTGAATACATGCCACATCCCCTCGTCATAATTCCATTCGACAACTGCTATCCCATAGTTATTTATGCAGACAAATTTGAGCATCATTTCGAACCAAGAAAGTAAAATTCAAGAATAAAAGTGGATACTAACTCAATAATTATAAAGACATCATATATGATGTAAAGTTTTTTGAACAGAGAAAAAAAAAACTCAAGACACGCGAAAGTGGTGTGCTGCTTTCTGTACTTTCAAGAATTTGGGACTCAGTAGAGTTTCTAAATAGAGACTCGTGCATGCATTTGTAAAGCAGGCTCTTTAAAGCTGCACAATAATTATCTTCGCCCCTAGAAACAATTGAACCAACCGCCTGTAATTTTGTAATTCTGTGAGCAATCAGTCTTGTATATTATAGTTAAGACATGAACAAAACTTTCATAATTACTTCTATCCATTCTAGGATGATTAGGATAACTTGTGAATGTAGTGAAACAACATATTTTGTACTCGCAATTCGGTTTACCTGCTAATGCTATTATCTTCAAATTCTAAAGAATCTTAATATTAAAACCATACAACTCAATTCCACATCCCACTTAATAAATGAGTCGTCCAACTCAGCAATAAATTTCATATATCATCATATTAATTCACCAATTGTATTGACCAACAACAATCTTGGATACAAAATTTCTCAAAAAAATCCAAACATTTTTAAATCAACCACTTTTTTTAACTCAACTTTAACTCAACCCCACTATCATCAATATTATCAATATAATTAAATAATATCAATCAATCATTATTACACACCATCTTACCTTAATTCACTATTCATCCACTCACATAATTTTAACTAACAAATCTTCTCTCTCCTACTTTACATCAAATCAACTTTAATTATTTTATTTTAAATATTATTCTAATATACCCACTAACAACTAACCATACAACTTTTTTCAAAATTAACCAAACCAAACAAAAAAATCTAAACAAAACCAAATTTTTTTATATCCAATCATCCTCTAACTCTCTCATGTCCAATTCAAAGTGGTAATTTAAATTTACCTTTCACCTGGCCTCTTCCAATTATTGATTCCATGTCCTCGAGAAATTACTGCGAACCTTTAAGGCCGTGATTGGAAACAAATTAATCTGGTTAAATTTGAAAACAAGACATCTAAGGTTGAGATTAAGATTGTTGCAACAACCTGCATTCGTAACTCCATACATCACTAACACACAAAATCAACTACTTCATTTTTCCATGAAAATAAGACAAACAACAATCCATGAGGCCAAAAATAGAAAAAAACGCTGCTTGTAAGTTGTAATATACCTCCGTCTTTGGGGCCGACAATTTTCTCTTCATAGTTACCACACTCAAAGTTCGCCACATTTTTTCTTCCATTACATTTATGGCAGCTTGGTTATAAAATCTGAAACAGGAAAAAGAAGATAATGGGCCCATCAATGAGACTAATCCTTCAAAAATAATCATAGTGCAAGATTGTCCCTTAAGCAATCAAATTCACAATTGCAAAAGGACCTTGCAGCTTCACTATAGGGTAATCCAAGCTGCATATACCTGCAAATAAATAACTTATAATTTTATCGAAGAAAGTGGTTTTCCTGTCTGATCCTGCAAAAAATAATCCTAGCGCAAGACACTCCTACAAGAAATCAAATTCAGGATTGCAAAAGGACCTTGCAGCTGCACTGTCGAGTAATCCAAGATGCATATACCTGCAAATAAATCATTTGTAATTTTATCGAGAAAAGTGGTTTTCTTCTCCGATCCATTTAATTCAATTGGCATATAAAATTGTAGATTAATCACAACTCAATATGAAAATACATTAAAGAACATTAGATAGAATTATTAATCACCAATATTGTCAGTCAACAATAACAATTAATTGATCCAAGAAAATATAAAAATAATAATAACAAATATAATATTCTTACTTCTTTCCCAAGAATCGACCCATTCTTGCTTCCCATCGACCACATTTATGCAGTGCAACATCTCTGTACTTCCAGCTTCCTCGAGGGAAGCCTGTGCTTTGACGGCGAAGAATGTGAACATGCTCTTCATTCGTTAGGTTCTTCATCTGTAAAATATCCTAAGTTGCATAAGATTAACCAGCACAGATCTCCTTCCCAAACTGCAGTACAAAATATATAGAATAAACCACATGACAATGATGAGAAATAAGTTAAGCGGCCGAATAAAATCAATTTGCAGCTGGGAATTCGAGTAAAATAGTATGAACCCAATTGAAGGCAATTGTTCAAAGAAAGTTTTCCAGAGGATAAATATAATAGAGAGATCCGGAATGAATAGCTTCGCAGAGCTAGTTTATCATCATAGAACTCAGTCAGGCTTAAGCGATTTTCTGTGGAGCCGGGGTGGAATCCAGCGGTGGAGGAGCACGCCATGGACCGTGTCCACAGGACCAGGCAAAAGGACATCGTGAAAATTGTGAGGTTGATAGCAAGGGACACGATTTAGTCCAGAGTAGCATCGAGATCCTTGTCAATATATGGATCCTTGTTCACAAATATTTTCCCTGTATAAGATTTCGATGGTTGTTTATCTCTGTAAAGACATCAAACACAAATGGGAAACAGCTGGACCAATGTTCTCGCAGTGACCGGTTCTTTTTAATTTCTCTCCAGTGCATAAATGTGAACAAATGCCCAATAAAAGATAAAAGACATTCACATCATTAGTCATCTGAGGTTAAAGTGAATACCTTGATTTCACGAGGTTTTCTTGACAAACACTGGGCCAATATATCCGACGTCAAATCAGAAATGCCAACTTCTTTGATGGCTGTTCTGAGAAAACCAAATACAAAATAGGTATAGCAACACAAAAAAGTATCATATTAATTTAATTCTGCCTGCCTATTATCCCACACAAAATAAGAATTTCCTTTCAATTAAGAATACACATAGCAACTGGGAAACTAAAATGACAGTCTTGACACTGAAAAGAAGAAAAATATACATCGAGAATTAAGACTGTTCGTATATGTAATTCTATAAATTCCCACACTATCTAGAAGTAGATTAATACCATATGCTTGAACAATGTCGTGTCTACCCTACCATTAGCTTTCTACTTTTGTTCATAAATAGAAAAAGGAAATAAGAATTTTCACAGAGTCCAACAAAAGAGCTGCATGAAAGGCTGATAAATTATTCAATAGACAATTATCTTTGGAGAGCTAATCTGGACCGAGAAAACAAAATTCAAACACTTAGAAAAGTAGGGAAGTATCAATGTATCATTGTATTTCAAAATTTGGATCACATTTAGAGAACACATCTATTTTTAAGCCAAAGAGAAATAAAAGGAAAGACCAAAGTGAGACCACAGGCACTGCACAAAATCTACCGACCGCAGAATATAATCTTCAGACTAAAAAAATCTACCGACCGCAGAATATAATCTTCAGACTAAAAGAACTCTTCCGTTTCTTCTTCATCCTCAACTGCTTCTTCTTCACTATCACTACATATAAGAGCTTTGCCACCATTCTGGTCATAATAGATTCTCCTCCTACCAACCACTGACTGATCCTCTGTCATTCTTTGATTACTGAACAAATAAATGAATATGATTACCACATCAAAAGAAACTAAAGGATAAAACATTAGTGTTTACTAAGATGCCATAAAAGAGCAAACAAGATTACCACAGACAACTATCCATGCACCAAAAAGCATAAACAGGGTAGAAATTTAGCTGGAGCTGGCATGTGACTGTTTTGAATTTAACCAATATATTAGAGCTAACAATACTACATAATTATTGTATTATTGCATCGACATTAAATTTTCGTCTGAACAAAGAGATGCCCATAACTTATGTTAGAACAGGAAATCATAATTCACACGCACAGATAAACAGTTCTACTACCTGGAGGAGATGTAAGAAGGAACTCGAGTGGAAATCGCTTCCGTGAAAATTCTCTGCGCATGCTGGTAATGGGCGATGGCGTGGTCAGACAAACCCCAACCCAGCCACCTCGGTAATAAGCACCTACAAACAGCGAAAAAAAGACGAATTCTACACCTCACACCATCATTTCAAAAGGTACAAAAACAAATAAGTAAAAGCCCTAAAAAAAAACCAATTCAATTAGGCCGTTAGTCTCTCGAATTTTTGGTTTTAGGACCAAAAAATCCATCCTTTTGTCTTCTGCGCTTTCTACTTTTTTTCTCTATTTTTTTATTGTTGAGCTAGGGTTTGGTGAGAGGAG